TTTTCTGTCGTTAGGATTTGATCCTTACTGCCTGATTGTCTTAGGACTTCACTTTGAGGTGAGTTCTTGCTTGTAGTCCTGCGGTCTGCTCTTTCTTCCCTTTTTGCAAGGCTGAATGGTTTGCTACATAATTGAACAACCTGTTGCGGGGGTTGCTCTATCTTTGCGACACTTTCCCCTTTTTGCTTGGTTGCCTCAGTTAAGTTGATCGGGCAAACATGATGACTTCCTAGGGCAAACTCGGCCACGAAGTCTGCCAAAGCTTGGGCCTTTATCGCGGTTCTTGGTTGAAATTTAATATCGAACTGCCCTAACTCCACGGCCCACTTCAAAATTCGCCCAGAAAAGTCCGCCCTTTCAAACAAGGCTTTTAAAGGGAAGGAAGTTAAGACGATCACGGTGTGGGCATGGAAGTAGTGCGACAATTTTCTTGAAGCCATTATCAAAACTAAGGCCAACTTCTTCAACGGCAAATACCTCGTTTCGGCTCTTAGCAATGTCTCGCTAACATAAAAGATAGGCAGGTGTTGTATTCCCTCAGCTTGTACTAATATTGCTCTAACTGCAACTGTTAAGTATAGAAAAAGTTCCTCTCCTGATACTGGGGTTACCAACAATGGCGGAGAGGTTATGTATTCTTTTAAGCTGTCCAGAGCGCGGTCACACTCATCATCCCACTCAAACTTGGCCTTCAGCGCCTGGAAGAACGGTTGACATCTGTCTAACAATCGACTTATGAACCGGTTTAGTGTGGCCGCTAGGTCTGTGAGATGTTGTACTTCCTTGACCGTCTTAGGCCTCTTGAGATCTTGAATGGCTTTGATCTGAGAAGGATCGGCTTCAATACCTTGGTTGGTTACTAGAAAGCCAAGAAATTTACCTGACCCTACGCCGAATGCGCATTTGGTTGCGTTCAATTGTAGATTGTGAGTCTTCAAAATGTGAAACATCTTAGCTAGATCCTTGAGATGGTCACCTTCATTCTTACACTTGACCACTATGTTGTCTATGTATGCATCCATTGTTCTGCCCAACAATGGATCGAACATTTTGGTGATCATTTGCTGGAACGTTGCCCCTGCATTTTTTAGGCCAAAGGGCATGACCTTATAACAATACAATCCCTCAGGTGTTGTAAAGGATGTAACATCCTAGTCCGGTTCATACATGGTGATCTGATGGCATCCATGATATGCATTGAGAAAGCTAAGTCGGTTGTGACCTGCAATTAGGTCTACTAGTTGGTCTATCCGTAATAAGGGAAAACTGTCTTTTGGGTATGCTTTGTTGACCGTCTTGTAGTCTATACATACGCGCCACTTGCCGTTCTTCTTTGGCACCACTACGGTGTTGGAGATCCACTTGGGATAGTGGACTTCTCTGATCGCCCCTGCTTCCAGCAGGTTTCGCACTTCCTCAGCCACTATCTCGGCGTGGTGAAGTGTCGATCGGCGCGTTTGTTATATAATTGATCTGGCGGTTGGGTGGATATTAAGTTGATGGCAGATGAAGTTAGGGTCAATGCCATGCATGTCATATGGCGTCCAGGCAAACACCTCGATGTTACAGATCAAGAATTCCATGATCTTTATACTTTTGGTGCTGGACAAAGATGAGCCGAGTAGAAAGAACTTTTCTGGGACCTTCTCGTCTATTCTGACCTCTACCAGATCTTCTATTGCCTTTTGTTCGGCGGCCTTGCCGACGTCTGCGAACAATTCGTTGTTTTCTGGTTCCTCTACCATTTGTACAAATCCTTTTGCATTTTGGCTTCCGTTTATTGTTACGAAGCATTGTTTGGACATGATTTGGTCTCCTAAGACCTCTTCAATCATTCCAGCTTCGTTAAGGAATCGTATCACCTGATGGTAGGTTGATGCTAGCGCTCGCATGGCGTGCAACCATGGTCTTCCTAAAATTATGTTGTAGGTGGAAGGGACTTTTAATACCCAAAATTTCACTTGTTTTGTCATTGCTCTAGCTTTAACCGGCAAAATTATCTTGCTAACCGGCCATTCTGGCATTGAGTTGAAGCCAACTAAGGGAGATGCTGCGGGTGCTAAATCTTTGTCCTCCAACTTGAGTTACTTGAAGGTCTCATAGTACATTATTTTGCATGAGCTCTCTTGGTCAATTAGGATTCGTTTAATGTTGAAATTCTTGACGCACAGAGTAACCACTAGTGTGTCGTTGTAAGGATTTTGTAACCTTACTAAGTCCTTGTTAGAAAAAGTGAATGACGTTTGTTGCCTCCGTTTTTTCCTTTTTCATGGCAGGCTGTGCACTCAATACCTCTCTCATGCGCTCAGCCTTTTTGATCATCCCTCTGAGTTTACATACTCGTTCAGGCTCGATGATCTCATGTATCACATCGATTATGCCTTGGGGCGAACCGTCGACCGACGTCCTAACTGGCCTGTTGTGGTCCTAGGGGGCAGGCTGCGCTCCCCCTTCAATATACTGATCCAGGTGGCCTGCAGCCACTAACTCCTCCAGATGTTGCCTTAATAGCGTACAGTTTTCAGTTCGGTGTCCATTTTCATCATGGAAGGTGCAATGGTACCTATCATCGTAGCCCCTCTGCGCTTCTCTCAACTTGGCTGGCCGCTGAACGAAGGGTTCGTCGCGTATCTCGCTAAGAATCCGGTAGATAGGCTTATTGAACACCGTGGTGATGGCGGTGCGGACTCTTAACCTCCTTGCCTGGGAGTCCTCATCGTTTGGTCGTCTGCCTTGACCATTTTTGTTCGATCGTTCTTTCCGGCTGACTGTGTTAACTTTTGTCGCGAATTTTTTGTCTGACATCACTGTTGTGCTGGACTTTGCCTTGGTGCAAGCGCCATCTTCATCTACCCTAATGTGCTGATGTACTCTCTTTATCAAGGCCTCTATTGTGAGGGGTGGCGTCATTGTCATTGAATCCCTCAATTTATTACCCGCTAGTGGACCTCGTTTGTACTGTGCGATAACAAAGTTTGTAGGGCAATTTCTAATTTGATTAAAAGTCTCCCAATATCGGTTATTGTAAGACTTAGTGTTTCTTTCTCGCTATGCCGATGGAGAGCAGCTGGTCTATCTTCACCGGTGTCTTGGTGTTTGTCTTAAACCTGGTAACAAACGCCTTTGCAAGTTGCACCCATGAAGCTATGCTGCTTTCTGGCAACCTCTCAAAACCATGTCAAGCCCAGATCGCCTAAGCTTGAGGGAAACAAGATACACATTAAAGCCTCGTTCTGTCGGTATACGGCCATAACCTGGCGGAAGTGGCTTAAGTGCATGTAAGGATCTAATTTCCCCTCATAAGTGGTGAATTTAGGCTTGTGGAAGCCCAAGGGCAACGGTGCATTCTTTATTGCCGGAACAAACGATGAGTTTTGTAACCTTGCTAACGCTTTGTCTGCTGGTTCGTAGGCAAGGCGCGGTACTGGCATTCCAACCTCGACATTTCCATGTGTCTGAGGAGCCAACCGCTGCAGAGCAGAGACCCTTTGGGGGTCACGTGCCTATACGTCTTTTCTCATTCGTGCCCTCTCTTCTAGCACTGTCCGTAAGTCCACCGACCTAAGCATCTCCGTGTCCTTTGTTGTCGTCTAGTGAGTATGCGAAGGCCGATAACTGTTTCCCTCCGTACAAGACCTTTTAGTCCTTGTTCTCTCTGACCTAGAGTAACGAGCCCTAGAGGTCCTTGACTACATGTCGCCTGTCCTAAGGCTTCTGCTTTCAGTCTGTGATGATGTAACTTGCCTGTCATGATCTCCTGAGTGGCGAGAGTGCGTTCTGCCCTTGCCCATCTTTTCTTCTGCCACCCCTTTGCCTTTTATCTGACGCTTCATTATCTCCATGTCAGCCGCCATTCTCCTTATCACTTCGTCTTGCTCCCTTACGCGATCTTCCAGAACTTGAGGATCCATCCTCCGCCTCTGTCTATCAGTGCTTTGAGAGCGGCGTGGATTTGAGCCCCGTCTTTCTCGCATGTCTCTCCGTGGGTTCCATCGCTGGGGATCCAATTCTGCCATGGGCGGGACAAAAGGCAAACCTTTGCGCCTCCCGCCTCCTTCCAGGGTTTGCCCATTAATAGCAGAATGTGGCAAGTCTTCATTATGCGCCATTGAAATTAATCGAAGAAAAACTCGATCAAAAGGTTTGTTCTCTGTAACTTTTCCACAGGCGGCGCCAATTGTACAAGCGCAGAATAATCTTCTCGTATAATCCTGTTGATCAAGTTTATACTCTTTCAAACGTCGTCGCTTTGCCACTTGAAAACACAAACGTGAGCTAGTCGGCGTGTGTGTGCTAGAAACCTCTCTGATGCGTAAGTCAGTAAATAAACAATAGACACAAAAGCTCTGTGTAAGTGAGAGTCAGAATTGCAATACCTGTGCATAGGTCCTGTCATGAGCTTTTAGAGATTCCGCCTGGACTCTTCTTAGCAGAGTCCTCTTAGGAATGAGATTAGCAGTCCTTTTAAGAATCACATCCACAAGGATAATGCCTATCATGATAACACTCTACTCACTGCTAACCAAATGAGATGGTTTCAACTCTTTTACTTAGGCCGGCAGTACGGTCAACCGAGCTAACACGTCTCAATGTTGCTCTAGATAACACTGTGGTAGCCCCAATTGCAGGATAGAGCTCGGCCTTCTTCCTTGCTAACACCTTGGCCTGCTACAGAACCTAGCTTTAGATAGCCAGGTTAGACAGCTGGCGACGTCTCTGTCTGACTTGGTGTCCAGATGACCCAGGATTGGGCTATCTAAGCTTTCACCTTGACCCGTAGCTCGGCCCAATGTTTAAGATAGATGGACTTAGCTTGGCCCAATTTATTCACATAAATTGCCCTCTCATGAGCATTAGTAAATAATGACTGCTATTGTTTACCAAGTAATTTTGGATGATTTTTTTACCTCCACACATTGCTATTTTGAGCATGTCTTTACAATTTGTTTACCACTTCATTTTTCCTTTTTGGAGTTGATGAGTTTATATTTTCTTCACAGTGGCAATTATGTTCACCCAGATGTTAGGCAACGAGTAATTTCATCTATACCGCACTATGGGCATTCAGGTATAGCTGAGGCTGCACGAGATCTATTCTTGCAAATTGAAGGAAATCCTGGAAATGATGGTAAGATAATGCAACTTTCCATAACATTGAGCATTTAATAATGTAATACTAGTAAAAACCCATTCAGTAGGCTCATGGGTGTCTATATTATTTCAAGTTAGATCTCATTAACACATTTTATATTGGTTAAACGAAAAGTTTTTCTTTGTGATCCCACAAAATTATGCATTATGATTTAAGTATTGTTCTTTATCCTTTTGTTATTTTGGATTACTTGAACAAAAAAAGAATTACCAACCCTTATCAATTTTCATTTTTTCTACTCGTGAAAATAGAAAATAGAAAACAAAAACAATACCAAACATGGTCTGAAGTGCTCATTTTTTGAAGAGACTCGGTAGAGAAATAGAATCTTGAAATTGATGTTTCCATTGCATGTTTTTTTAACACACTAGTTTCTTGCCCTTTACTAACCTCAAGAACACTTCTTGAAATCATAGCTATATTATTTATAACTACAGGTACATGTTTTTGTTATCCTACATTGTGAGCCATGTTATTGCATGGTGGTTGCACATCATCTTCACATTGTTATCTCCAAGGACTTGCGGTCCACACATTAAGTCTCAAGTCTCCTAAAGTGAGATGATTCTTTGATTGGATTGTCCTACATGCACAATAACTCCCAAGTTTGGTCTCATGCATGCTCGTTACAAAACATTGTCCTTTTTCATTTTAAATTAGCAGACCTCACAACATATCACATTGAGTTTCAAACTCTGCACAATTTGTTTCCTACTGAAATTTGACTATTTTATTTATTTTTTTATTAAATTTCCTTACTAATTTCCCACTTGACACGATTCTTAATTTTGAAGGATTGGCAGATGTTTCCTCTAACTCAAGAGGATTTCTTTCTTCATTGCTTGGAGCTGGATGTGAATGTGATGGGTATGGTCTTCGCATAGTGGGGCATTCCCTTGGAGGAGCTATTGCCGCATTGTTGGGACTTAGGGTAAGGGTTATGCCACTTCAAATATTGTTTTTCCTTAGAATGTATTATTCTTTCTTTATTTATTTGAGTTGTTCTTGTCCAAAACTTTACTTGTGGAATGTATAGATGAGAAGAAGAAGAAGGAAAAGAAATAGAATGAGAGAGAGAGAAGCTGTATTGTTTATTTGATTCAAAAGAATAGGGTTTCTCCCTTACACCTATATATAATAATAAGCATAAATCATAAAGACCAAATTACCCTAACATTTAACACTCCCCCTCAAATTGGTGTAAAGATGTCTCTCATGCCCAACTTGCAACAAATGGGGTGAAAGACTTTACTACTAAGACTCTTCGTAAAAACATCCGCCAGTTGATCTATAGACATAACAAAAGGCATACGTATCACACTCTTATTCAACTTCTCCTTAATGAAATGTCTATCAATCTTAATATGCTTAGTTCGGTCATGTTGAATAGGATTGTGCACAATACTAATGGCAGCCTTGTTGTTGCAATACAAAGTCATGGGATCACGGCAATCAAACCCTATATCACTCAACAAAGAATGAAGCCACATCAGTTCACATGTTTCATGTGCCATAGCTCCGTATTCAACTTCAACACTAGATCTGGATACTACCGCATGCTTCTTACTCCACCATGTGACTAGATTTCTCCCTACAAAAGCACAGTAACCGGAGGTTGAGCGTCTGTCATCTATAGAGCCTGCCCAATCTGCATCTGTGAATGCTTCCAACCTCAAGTGACCATGATTAGTGAACAAAATTCCTTTTTCCAGGGGCAGATTGAAGGTACCTCAAAATGCGATAGACTGCATCCAAATGAGTTGCTCGAGGATTGTGCATAAACTGACTCATTATCCTAACTGCACAGGCAATATCTGGCCTAGTACGAGATAGATATATTAGTCTTCCCACAAGTCTTTGGTACCTTTCCTTCTCCACAAGCTCACTAACCCCACTACAAAGATGATGATTAGTCTCAATCGGAGAAGCAGTTGGTCTGCAACCTAACATGCCTGTTTCCTCAAGAAGATCTAGAATGTACTTCCTAAGTAATAAAGATGCCTTAATCAGATATGGCAACTTCAATCCCAAGAAAGTACCTTAACGGATTAAGATCTTTGATCTCAAACTCCTTGGCTAACTACATCTTGAGATGAGTCACCTCCTCCTCATCATTACCTGTCACAACTATGTCATCCACATATACAATAAGCATTGTTACCTTATGTACACTGCGTTTGATAAACAAGGTGTGATCTACAGTGCTTTGCTTATACCCAAATCCCAGTATTGCCTTTAGGAATCGTCGAATCGACCAAACTAAGCTCGAGAAGATTGTTTCAAACCATACAAAGCCTTCTTCAATCTACAAACCTTTCCAACTGCAGTCTGAGATGAGAATCCTGGAGGTACATCTATATATACCTCTTTCTCCAAATCCCCATGAAAGACATTCTTCACATCTAGTTGCTGTAAAGGCCATCCCAAATTAGCAGCACACGAAAGAATAGCTCGAATGTAATTCATCTTCGCTAAGGAGCAAAAGTTTCTTGATAGTCTATTCCATATGTTTGAGTAAATCCTTTGGTTACTAGTCTTGCTTTGTACTGTTCAATCGTCCTATCTGTATTGTTCTTAATGGTGAACACCCACTTACATCCGATTGGTTTTTTTCCATTAGGAAGAGAAACCAACTCCCAAGTGTTGTTCTTACTCAAAACTTGCATCTCTTCTACTATAGCTACCTTCCACTTAAGATCATTTATAGTTTCTTTCCAACCTGCGGAATACATACAGAAGAAAGAGACGAAACAAAGGCACAATATATAGAAGACAGCGAACCATATGACACAAATTTAGAAATGGGGTGTTGAGTACAGGTTCTAACCCCCTTTCTAAGAGCAATAGGAAGACTCAAATCATCAGCAACAGGGCTATCAACAACTGGTGAAGAAATAGGCTGAGGATTATTACTTGTAGAGTCAGTGAAAATTGGGTATGGAACTGGTATGAGAGATGATGATTGACCGGGTGGCGCAAGAGAATTCTGACACCGTGAATAAGTCTTAAGATCAGCTTTGTCTAAACGATCACCAATATCAATCTCCTTCTCAACATAACTCTTAGGCTCCCCCTCACCACAAATAACAGCCCACTGATTAGGAAGGAAAAAAGACAACTCATGCTAATATGATGTCGCCTCATCTACAATCTCATCCGTAACACTCTTCCCCTGAGGAGATAGCATAGGACACAAGAAAGATCAAGAAAGACACACTGGACAGCCTTGGGATCAAGCTTCCCATGAGTTCGAGGTTGGAGGTGAACAAAATAGACACTGATAAAAACTTGAGGGGGAAGAGAAGAAGTGGGATAAGCCACAGGAAGAAGTTTAAGAGGAAGTTGGAAGTTGAGGACACTAGAGGGCATACGGTTAATAAGGTAAGTAGCGGTAAGAACAGCCTCCCCCCCAAAAGACTGAGGAACATTCATAGTAAACAAGAGAGAGCGAGCAACTTCAAGAAGATGGTCATTTTTGCATTCAGAAACTCCATTTTGCTCAGGAGTGCCAACATAACTAGTTTGATAAAGAATGCCATGCTCCCCGAGGTATGCTCGGAAAGCTCCATCAACATATTCAGTCCGATTATCACTCCGAAGAATTTTTATAATAGCATTAAAGAGATTGGACACCATTTTATGAAAAAGTTTGAAACATGAGAAAACCTCATTTTTAATGCGAAGTAAATAAATCCAAGTCACACGGGAATAACAATTAATAAACGTGACAAAACACTGATAACCAGAGAGGTAGACACCACAGGGGAAGGACCCCACACATCAGTATGAATAAGCATAAAAGGAAAAAATACTTCTTTTATTAATGGAAGGATAACAAGTACGTTTATGCATAGCAAGCTCACAAGCATCACAAACAAAGTTATTCCTAGGACAATCTCGAACTAATGAAGGAAAAAGTTTTTCTAAAATAATAAAGCAAGGATGGCCCAAATGACGATACCACTGATGAAGCAAACGAAGGAAGGAGCCAGAAGTGGATTGAAGAGCCTGAGAGGACAAAGTTGATGGATGACGAACGGCGTCCAGAAAGTACAGACCACCTTGTGCTTTACCACTGCCAATCAATTTCCTCGTAGCCAGTTTCTGAAAGACACAATGAGTCGGAAAAAAGGTTACAGAGCAATTGAGAGCAGTAGTAATGCTACTAACAGGAAGTAAGTTAGTGGAAAAATCAGGAACATGAAAAACAGATGAAAGAGAAAGCAAAGAGGTGCAATGAACCGAACCCTTGCCGAAGATAGAGGATAAAGTGCTATCAGCCACTCTAACCTTATCTCTCCCAGAACTAGGAAAATAAGAAATGGAAAAAATAGAAGTACCCGTCGTGTGATCTGTAGCACCAGAATCAATGATCCAAGGAGACGACGAAGAGGTACTAATTGCACTAGCAACAATACCTGTGTGAGCAAAGATGGAAGAGGCAAAAGAGAAAGGAGCTAAGGATGATGAAGAATCAAGTTGAGCCATCAAACGTCTGAGAGTGTGAAGCTCATCCTGGGAAAGAGAACCAGTGTCACCCGAGGCACTAGCAGTAGTCTCCGATACATGTGCTTGAGCACGAACACCACGACCACGACCATGACCACGACCATGGCCTCGAGTAGGCCGACCATGCAACTTCCAACAATGCTCTTTATCATGTCTATCTTTCCAACAATAATCACATCTCAACCGGTCCCGATCAACCAAGGGACCCGTACCACCACCTTGAGGCTAACTAGGCTGAGTATCACGTGACTTTGGGGCTGCAACCATCGCTGATCGATCCTGAGTAGGGACATGTACCATAGCACTACGACGACTCTCCTCCTGCTAAACCAATGCATAAGCCTCGCGCAGTGCAGGAAACGGAGAGCGACCCAACACCTGAACCCGTATCTGATCACACTCCAAAGTCAGGCCAGTAAGAAAGTCATACATCCGCTCCTTTTCCACAACCTGTTGAAACATAGTGGCATCCGTGGAGCAAATTAGCTGGAAACTCTGGTAGTAATCTAGCTCTTGCTATAAACCACTCAACTCCGCATAGTAGATTGCAAGAGAGCGATTCTTTTGATCCAAGCCCCTAATCTTCTTTCGCAATTCATAGGCCTGTGCATCATTACCCTTTGAGAATACATCTAAAAGACGACTATCCAAATTTTGTGAGCAATATCCATCAAGAGAAATGTTCGACTAATAGTAGGCTCCATAGAATTGATTAGCCAGGTCATAACTAAAGTATTCTCAGAAATTCATTGAGCAGATAAAGCACTATCTGCTGTAGGTTGCTGGGTTCTACCAGTAATATAGCCAGTCAAATGCCGGGCGGCAATGGCAAGACTACAGGAGCGGGACCAAATCAAGTAATTAAGACCATTAAGCTTGACCGGACTAATCTGGAGAGAAGGACTATCACCAAGAGTCATACCACGACTCAGTCCACTCTCCTCATTGCCGTTAGAGTCTTGACCCAAGCTGTCAACCATGAGATGAGAAAAAGAGGGTGCAAAAACACAAGCAGGATATCAAACAAATCCAGAAAACACCCTAACCAGCATAGCAAATCAGGCTAAAACAGTCCAAGATAAGCCTAGAACAAAGCAACCAGATCAACTAGAAGCCAGAAAACGGAAGCAAAGCATCCAAACAGCAAGAAAAAGCCAAGGTAGGGCCAAAATACATCAAATCAGGGATAGCAAACCCCTCCAGGGTTCCAGTCGGCTCCCTAAGATGGGAGGAGGGACAAAACCAGCAAACAAACGTTCAAATAGTGACTTTCGAAAAATCACCCAGTTTTGACGAAAAATCAAAAAAATTGAAAAACTCAATCAATAATGACCAAACAATCAAAAGGAGATTATAGGGTGATTACCCATTAAATTTCGAGCATATTGTTTTTTTTTTTGATTTTTTTGTTTTGTTTTTTTGAGAGCAGACGTACCAAGATACAAGAACAGGAAGGAGACTGAGAGGAACAATCTTTAAGGAGGAAGTTATTGCTCTGATACCATGTTGAACGTATAGATGAGAAGAAGAAGAAGAAGGAAAAGAAACAGAACGAGAGAAAGAGAGAAGCTGTATTGTTTATTTGATTCGAAAGAATAGGGTTTCCCCCTTACACCTATTTATAATAATAAGCATAAATCATAAAGACCAAATTTCCCTAACACTTAACACTTTCCTTTATGCTAGGTCTTCCATTTGTAGATGCAGATATGAGTACCAATGGAGACTTAATCATCTACTTCCTTCAAAAACACAGCTGAATTATTTTTAAATTTTACCAATGTGATTGTGACTGTTTTGTACAAATTCCTGGACTTATATGATATTAGGGCCTAATTGAGTCTTCATGTGCTTAGGTGAACTGATTGTCCCTGAAACTCAAATGTTTTTCTTTTTTTCTTGTATTCTTTTTCACTGCTGACTTGGTTGAGGCCCAGTTAGGGGATTTCGAGTGTGACTATTTCAGCTTTATCAAGTTTCTCTCTCTCTCTCTCTCTCTCTCTCTCTCTCTCTTAGTTTTTGAATTCAAGCAGAGGTAACAATTCCACAAATGATAATGATGAATGAACTGTCTTTGGTATTCTGTGATCAGACCATAGCTTTTGAAGTTAATTCTATTATTTGTGAAATTCTGAAAAATTGAACCATAAAAGTGCATATGCTGTTGACCATAAGCTAAGGAATCAATATTCCGTGTCATTTTAGTAAGACACTGGGTGCCCCCCTTTCCCTAAAATATATGAGTCTGAGAAACAAGTCTAGGTACTCTGGATTTGGTTCATTGTTTGAGCCTGGACAGTCAAGCTTAGACAAAACTAAGGTGGCCAAATAAGGCCTGTTTTCAACAGTACTTAAACTACTACCAATATATATATATTTTGGTTTTCTTGGACAGTTATATCGCCAATACCCAAATTTGCATGTCTATGCTTACGGTTCTCTTCCGTGCTTGGATCCAATCATAGCAGATGCTTGCTCAGAATTTATTACGAGGTGATGATCGAGAGATTTTTTGTATTAATGTCATTTTTACAATACTTTCTCATTACTGTAATTGGTCTTCAGTGTGTTTGTTCAATCCATGTGTGTATAGACCTTTTGTCTGAATGTCACCTGAAACACATTATTAATTTTCTGCAGTATTGTATACAACAATGAATTTTCAGCACGTCTTTCAGTTGCTTCAATCCTAAGGCTTCGTGCAGCTGCACTTATGGCATTGTCACAGGATACAGCTGATTCAACCATAACTTCTATGCTTGCACACAAATTTCTGTTTGTGAGCAGGTATGACAGAACTAGGGTTGAGGAAAAGATTCACGATTCACATTTGAATTCTAGTGCTATGACAACTGGAGATAGAAACCTCCATGGTTACAGTAGTCCATGCAGGAATGGTATTAGCTGACCTTTATTTTCTTTATGTATTCAGTTTGTCTAGGCAACATTTGGGCAGCTTCTATTTACACCATGATTTTATCTACTTACACCACCTTTTTTATATATTTTTATTACAATCTTACCCTTTATAAAATTACCTTTAAGGACTTAAAATTAAAAAATATGTATTAATATAATTTTTCCTTACAGCCCTTCCTCTTCCTTCCCACCAGTCACCACCCACCCTTCTCCTCCACCGGCCACCATCCTTATTCCTCCACCAACCAGCACCACCCGCTTCCCCTCTGTCACTCTCTCCATCCCTCTACAAGTCCTAACACATCTACCTTAACGAACATAAAAATAAATAAAAAATATTTTTTTAACTCAATAGTTAAAACGTACATATGATGATTGTGAAATTGTATACAAGATTTTGGTGTTCGAGAGATGATTGGGTGTAATTTTCTATCATTTTGATGTAGTTTTATGCAATTTGAAAAAAAAATGGAATCGAAGCTCTGTTTGGCTTTGATTCGCTGAACAAATTAAGATTGTCTGGCTTTTGATAGCATAACATTTTAAGCTTATTTAGACCACTAAGGTCGAATGTAATTAATTTCACTAATTTTTCCTTATTTGGCCCAGGTTATCTGAACAAAATTTGAACCAAAAAAAAAAAAACCAAAAAAGGTTGTTGGGTGGGGGAGGGCTTTCGGGGGATGGTCGTGGCGCGGGGAGAGCTGGGGGTGGTGGTCGTCGGAGGAGGAGAGGTGGTGACTATGAAGTTAGGGTTTGGAAGATTGGGGGGTGCAAGAAGAAGATTAGAAGTTAGGGATGAAGATATTTTCGGAATCATCGAGGGTGTAATGAGAGTGTAATTTTTTAAATTTAAATGCAGGTGTAAATAGAAAATGTTGTAAGGAGTTTTTTGTGGTGTAAATAGAAGCTCCCCAACATTTGTGATTTTTCACCTTTGCTGTCAATGAATGCCGGGATTATATGCTATGCTTGATTTTAATGTTTGAGACTGAAGGTATTTTGCTAAAACATTTTCTATGTATCACTGCAGGGATCACAGGGCAGGATCAAGAGTCCTCCCTCTGGCAAGCTATCAACATGAAAGATGATTCTGGTGGTGAAATTAATCGCAGTGATTCAATTGATGATTTCACTAATCCTTTTTGTGCTTCTCCTGATAATGTAAATTTGTCTGGTGATCCTGTGTCTGAGTTTATGGAAACCGTGCCATTGTCTCAGAATGGATCCCCGGGGGTTCTCCCTGAGATGTTTTTACCAGGCTTTGTAATTCATATAGTACCACAGAAAAACAGCTTTCACACCCCTTTGTGGAGAAGTTGGAGAACCCAAGAGAAGTATTGGATTTATAAAGCTTATACAGCAAATAGAGAAGATTTCAAGGATATCGTTGTGTCAACATCCATGTTCCTTGACCATCTACCTTGGAGGTTTCTAATCCCACTCTTCCTTTCTTGTTATAATTCTCTAGTTGCTTTGTTGGAATATCAAGAAAAATCGACTCTCATGATCTGTTGTTTCACTTGGTGGTGACTTGCAGATGTGATTATGCCATGCAAAAAGTATTGGAAGTGCGAAGTGCCTCCCAAAGTGCCTCCCAAAGTGCTCTATATGATGGATCTCAAATGGTGTGAGTTCTAACTGTTGAGTTCATTTCTAAATTTAGTTTCTCCTATCATTATTTGAGCCATGTTAGTTTAGTTTCAACCAGCTGGTTGGGTAGAATGTAGAAATGGTGATACAGTTATTGCCATCATCCAATATACATTATACGGTAGAGATGTTACTTGGAATGTGCATCCTTGTTTGTAGTAGTTTGTGGAATAGGAACAGGAACACTACTAATTTTAGCTGCTCTAAAATGCAACATTATAGGGGTTCACTTATTATTAATCACAAGTTTCCAGGTGTTTCTGTATGAGTAATTTTCTTGAAAATTAGATGATAGATGATACATATGTTACGGTGCAAAAAATTTCAATTTACCTTTTGAACTTTGTCATATTCGAATTGATTTACTTTATCAACTTTGTTTCAATTATTTGTCAATTTCTGTTTATATATATATATATATATATATGTATATTAAGGTGATTTGAAAAAAATAATCCACTAAAGACAAAAAGGCAAATCTTTTTTGAAAAAAGCCTAGAAAAATGTTTTTATTTAGTTGACTTTTTCCAAATCTTATTCTTTCTTTAGCGAATTTTAAGTCAAGAGGCATCTAAAGATTTTAAAAATTAACAAAAAAATTGAAAAATGTTCAAAAAAAAAAAAAAAAAAAAAAAAAAAACAGTTCCAAAGTTGACAAACTCCAAAATGTATATATTGTAGTATCTTCAGTAGGCATTTTAATTTACCTTTTGAACTTTGTCATATTCAAATTGATTTACTTTATCAACTTTGTTTCAATTATTTGTCAATTTCTGTATTAAGGTGATTTTGGAATAGAAGGCCTTAAAATTTTAAATTAAGAAAATTGGATCTAATTTGAAAAAATAATCCACTACAGACAAAAAGGCAAATCTTTTGTGAAAAAAGCCTATTTTAGTCAAATATGACAACGTTACATCTAATCCATAATCATTTTATTGTTTTTCTCACAAAAGTCAAAAAAGCTAAAAAGTCTATCTCAAACGAGATTTTTTAGTCTCAGGTTAAATAAGTTAATAAGTTAAAAATCAACTCACATCCTAAATGAACTCTTAGTTGACTTATTTCAAATCTTATTCTGTTTTTAGCGAATTTTAAGTCAAGAAGCACCTAAAAATTTAACAAAAAAAATTGAAAAATGTTCAATGAAGACAAAAAAAACCTGGCTTAAAAACAGTTCCAGAGTTGACAAACTCCAAAATGTAAATATTGTAGTATCTTCCCTTCCCTGTATAGCATGCTAAAATAGCTAGTTGGCATTTTAATTCAATCAACTAAGTTCAATTAGTCAAATTCATATAACAACTAAAATAAAATTTTAACTTAATTGAACAAGAATTTAAGAATGCCTCAAATTAATTAATTTTGGGCCAAGGGAGTTTGTTGTTGTTGCCTTTATTACTCAGTTTTGCTGGAATAGAGGTGGCCGAGGATCCGGACTCGTCACGTTCAAGGTATTTATGGCTTTAAGGGCAGAGTGGATATCTTTTTGGAAAAATTATTAACTAGTCCTAGAGTAATCAGGTGGTATTGCTCCTGAAAAATGAGAAATAGCAAAACATACTAGGTGGGTGGTCCTTTACATTATAATCATTGTTGTCACATCACAAATCGAATTGTGAATCGTAACATTTTTTTTTATTTAGCATAGCATATATTTTATATATGTATGTATAGTATTATTTAAAATGAAATAAATATCAATATAGCTAAATTATATATATGTATATTGTATTATACATATAAAACCACACATATCAATATACTTAGTTGATTTTTTAGTTTTTTAGCACAAACAACAATTATTCATACTTTTGCAAACAAAATTGAATTGTAGTGTTGTGTAGTAAATCACAATGAATCATAATTGAATTGTAAAATTCATTCAATTTAATATTCAGTAGTATGAATCAAGTCTTTTTGGTTGAAATTTGTATTGAATTGTATGAATCGTAAGATTTCTAACAACCATTCTCTCAATTACTTAACAAAGGTGGGTTAGTAAGTATTGTTTTGCTCATAAAGTTTTCACTACGTCATTGATTGGGAGCATTACGTGTACAATGCACTACATGTACAATGCCTCATTGTTCGTTCTTTGTTTTGTGCTTAGTTTGTATCTCACCTAATTTTAAGTAATTCCATTGAAGATTTCATTGTGTTTTTAAGTTTATGTATTCTTTACGAAGCATGACAACAACAGGAATCCAGAAATATGAGTCAGTCTAGTTTATATCTTAAAGTAGTGTATCAAAAGTTTACACATAATTTTACTGGCAAATATGAATCGACCTAAAAAGTGTTTAAATGTGTCACAGAGTGATATCAAGAAGAAAGGTTTGTTTTCAGTACGAAAATATTCGGGAAATGCTACAGTACCATAGGTAATTGAAAAAATGGCATCTTTTACAAGTTCATAACAATCGAGAGAATTTTTCAAATTTCAATGTAAAAGTTTTATAGATGGAGTTAACCATTTTGATAATATGTGAATACAAGTGGAGAAAATAACCTAGTATTATCTGATTTATAAGAACACAAATAAGTATTTTTATTACCGTTTTTGTTATGACCTATTTTTGATGTTAGTTATGAAAGTGTGTACTATAAACAAAAGTGAAGTTATGAAGTTTTATGATTGGTTACTACTAGCTCATGGTTTTTTATTATGAATATTTGTGATATGATTTTTTTATGAGGATTTGTAGCGTTTTTGTTATGATCCTTTGTCCCTAGACATTTAATGACACTTTTACAACATTGGGTTTTAAATTGTCACAACAACCTTGTTGGTATGGAATTTAAGTTGTCTATGCTGGCTGCTCAACTGAAATTAATGTCTATTTAACTGAATAGTACTAGTCATCTACCATTATCATGAGGATGACTCACATTCCATGACAAACTTGAATTCAGCATAACTTTACATCAAAATGCAGGTATGTTGTTGTTGTTGTTGTGTGACACCTTTTCTAGAAACTTATAGGATTACTGGCAGCCTCAAGCTTGTTTAGTCTTATATTTTTGGTTTTGACATTTTTTTTTTTTTTGATCAGCAAAGAAAATGGACATATTTGTCCTTCCATTTATAATTTGTGTTAATTTAGTTCAATCGATGACTGATGTTATAGTTATAGATAGAAAATGCTCATGTGCAACACATGACTATTTCCCAAGGACAATAAAAAAATTCTACCAAATCCTTTAGAAAATGCTCATGTGCAACACATGACTATTTCCCAAGGACAATAAAAAAATTCTACCAAATCCTTCCTCCACACTTTACCCATTCTCACTTCTACGTCTGTTATTGAAGAGGTTAAATCCACACTAATCAAAAAAATTGAAATGTGAAATTGATGCAATTGAAACTATGGAGATCAAATTGATGCTGCAGTTGAAATTGCAATGACTAAATTGATAGAATTGTCAAAATTATACGGACCATTAATGTAATTTGCTCTTATTTAATTTGATATGTAGTACCACCACAACTAGTTTCTCTATTATGATATAGCAAATTGCATCCAATTATGCATTGTTGGAATTTTTCCTAACATCTTAGACCTTTTGGGTCATATAAAATTGCATTAAAGCTCAAGTTAGGAGTCTTCAATTCAAGTCTCACCTATAGAGAGTCCTTGGATAGCCCAAAAATAAATATATAAATATATAAAGAGTTATTGGATAATTGACCTAATTAACAATATGACTTCCCACACTTTAATATTAGCTGCCCATATTTTAAATGACACACTAAAAAGGCTTGAAATTAAGTGGAGGAGAGAAGGTGAAAAACCAAAAAAAAAGAAAAAGAATATATTGTAAAACCATTTTAGTTTGAATTTGAAAGCATAGCACTGGGACTTGAATTCACTTTACCTGCAAATTGGCATACACTACACTACGGCACTCAGCCTACAGAATTTTTAAGTGATATGAATTATTAAATTGCTTCCTAGTTTATAGTATTTTAGTTCAAGCTTATCTTTTACAATTGGTGAGTTTCCTACCAAAGTTTCTTTACTTGGATGTGTATTAGGAAATATGAATAATGGGCCTATTCGGTGCAATTTCTTACAAACTGAAAGCTAATAATTAGAAAACATAAATTAGAATCATTCCTTTTTTTTTTTCAATAATTAGCTTGCTTATTTATTTTTGTCTTATAAGTTGTAAGCAAAAGTTATACTAAACAATGTGATACAAAATTTTAAAATAGTGTATATCAAGCTAATGCTTCCCTTCACATCCAATCTCGCTTGGCATGTAGAGAAGCCAATAAAATGAGAGAATAAGGTATACGAAGATAGACAAAACATAATGTGTTTAGATATCACAATGAAGTTAATAAAAAAAAGAAAACGAAGAAAGACGAGAATGAGATAGAGCTAAATCAGTTCCTCTCCATAACATTATTGTACTGTAATGAATTATGTAAGGGTTATGGAAAAATTGGATCAATTGTTATAATAACTTTTTTCTTAATGTGAAATAAAAGATAAATTTATATAGTTGTAATTTTCTTTTTCTTGATTGGTTTACTTCGTCTTGTTCCTCTCTCTCTCTCTCGCTTTAGGTGACTGGTTGATTTGTGTATAGTTTTTAGGTACATGGTTTTCCACTGCCACATTGCACATTAGGTCTGGCTTTTTTTAATTTTTCATTTTTTTTTACTTGAACTATGTTTGGTTGCATGAACAATGGGCAGAGACAGGTACAACAACAACAATTATGTTTCTTAATTTTTAGTTAGCAGAGATAGAGAACCCAGAATGGAATGGCTTTTATAAGTTGATCATGTTATTTTATTTTTGAATAAAGTTTGAATTAGTTTTTTTCAACCAAGTCCCAACAGGATCATACACCTTTTTTTAGGTACATGGCACTGTAACCAACCTGCGCGACCACTATGCTTTTTCTTATAAAAGTAGACCACATTACAACTTTATCAGAACACCAAACAAAAATTATTATTATTATTAAAAGTCTATTTATTAATTAAAAATATCCCTTTGCTCACAAATTTATTTATTTTAATTCATTTGATAAATTCATTTTATAAGTTTACTTTAGTCATTTAAAAAAGTTGCGAATATGCCATACAAATTAAAAATAATAATAATAAATTTTATTTTTAACAAATAAATTAGATGCTTAGCTAACTCTCGATGTAGATCTCCCCTTTAGTCATACTAATGATACGAGTTCTAAGTCATATTTAGCTGCGGATGGATTGTGATGTTGTAGTGGAACACAAAAGTA